ACCCCCATCATATCCCAGTATAACTCCTTCATACCCCATTATAACCCCCTATATCCCAGTATAACCCCCCAATATCCCAGTATAGCCCCCTCCCATTCCCAGTCCAGCTCTTTCCCCCTCCCAGTCACTCCAGTTCATCCCAGTTACTCACCAGGGGGCAGAGGGTTCCCTCTTACTGGGGACAAAACTGGGGAGGCAAAACCAGTTGAGGTGGGGTGAGTGTCCCAGTTCATCCCAGTTACCCCCAGTTCATCCCAATTCCCTCCTAGTTCATCCCAATTGCTCCCAATTACTCCCAGTTACCCCCAGGTTGTCCCAGTTCCATCCCAGTTCCTCTCAATTCCCTCCCAGTTGCTCCCAGTTCCTCCCAATCCCCTCCCAGTTGCTCCCAGTTCATCCCAATCCCCTCCCAGTTGCTCCCAGTTCATCCCAATACCCTCCCAGTTGCTCCCAGTTCATCCCAATCCCCTCCCAATTCACTCCAATTGCTCCCAGTTCCCTCCCGGTACATCCCAATTGCTCCCAGTTCATCCCAATTCCCTCCCAGTTCCTCCCAATTGCTTCCAGTCCCCTCCCAGTATATCCCAGTACCTCCCAGTAGCACCAGTACGCTTAGGCTGACCCCCTCCATCCTGTGACCTGGTGTTACTGGGCGGGAACTGGGTGTTAATGGGTGGGAACTGGTGTTACTGGGCGGGAACTGGTGTTAATGGGCGGGAACTGGGTGTTAATGGGCGGGAATTGGGTGTTAATGGGCGGGAACTGGTGTTAATGGGCGGGAACTGGGTGTTAATGGGCGACGGGTGGTAATGGGCGGGAACTGGTGTTACTGGGCGGGAACTGGTGTTAATGGGCGCCAGTGGAACATTCCTGCGTGGGGCGAGGTCCCAGTTCACTCCCAGTTCCTCCCAGTGCCCGATAAGGCCGGGACTGGTCGTACCAGTGTCCTTGGGGGGGGTCATTGGGGTCCCCCCCTATTATACACGGCCCCTAATGGGTATTTGGGG